CACCTTTTTCTTTCCAAAAAAAGCTAACAGGATTAGCAAATGTAATATTAATATGAATTAAGATATTTTTTAAAATGTTTTCTCCTACAATGGGGTGTATTTTCAGGACTTTGTTTTTGGTGGTGGATTCTTAGATATGATACCAAAAAAAATGAGTCAAAGAAATAGTTTGAGAAGCTAAAAGAAAAAAAAAGTTTTGTTTTTTTCATTATTTTTGGAATTAGATTATTTTATTTGCAGAGTATTTGTTCTGATTCCTTAGAAGGGCCCCCTTAAAAATATATATATATATAAAGCATCTTTACATATAGGGTGATTTTTCTCTATCAGCTTTTTTCAGTATTGACATGTAAACTTTATTTTGATAGATTGTTTAGGCCTCTACCCAAATAATGTAGTTCGCATAAAGGACAGCATAAAGGAGAGGGAGGGAAACATATCGTCTATGGTTTCATTTGCTGATAGTTGTGTGTGGGGGGGGAGGCGTGTTCCTTTGGTCAGAACTATAGGAAGGCAGATCCTGTGAAGCTTCTGGTGGGTAGCAATCTGACTTGAGGTTAACACTCTTCCCCTGTTGACCGCCTCTACCCAGACTCCTCTTTTAGCCTCTGCTACTGGGAATTGTTGGCAATGAGTGTCTAAGGCACTTGACTGCTAACCAGACAGCTGACTGTTCAAACCCACCAGCCACTCCTCAGAAGAAAGATGGGGCAATCTACTTCCGTAATGATACTGCCTCAGAAACCCAAGGAGGGGTCGCTATGAGTTGGATCTGACTCGACGGCAGTGAGTTTGGTTTGTTTGGTTTATTATAAACTCAGAACTATAATTCAAGTGAGACTAGGAAAAGGGTTAACTAAGACAGTTGAGGAGTTTCATTTGTTTTTAACAAGAAAGTCCTTCTGTTGTCGAGCTGTTTTTCCCCCTTGTGGTTACTCCCTAGCCCTAAGTTAAAGTGGCGGTGGTGGTTGTTAGGTACCACTGAGTTGGTCTCAACTGAGAGCGATCCAATGTACAGCAGAACAAGACACTGCCCGGTCCTATGCAACTGTCACAGTCATTGCCAGGTTTGAGCCTTGTTGCAAACACTGTGTCAACCCGTCTCATCAAGGGCCTTCCTCTTTTTCACTCTCTACTTTAGCGAGCAGGCTGTCCAACTCCAGGGACTGGATCCTCTTGATACATGTCCAAAGTATGTAAGACAAAGTCTTGCCTTCCTCCCTTCCAAAGAGCATTCTGGCTATACTTTTTCCAAGACAGAAATGAAGGTATCACCCCTTTTTCATATATGGTTCAATGGCTCTTGTTGGTCTTTTAGTTGAACTCCTCAAGTCTTCCATTCCTGTAGCAAATGCTATAGTCAGCTTCTTTACCTCTGGGGCTGTTGGGGAATCCTCAGAGCCTTCCGTTTTCCCCTATTTGGCTATTCCACCTCATGCTCTCACCCCTCAGTGCTCTCTCCAACCTTACCAGCCTTTCTTTTCTGAACCAGGGATTCTCCTGAACTGTCTTGTAGAAATCTGGTTATTTACACTGCAGTGAAAGCCCACTTTCATCGTGTGTGCTGGTTACGTTTGTGTGTCAACTTGGCTGGGCCTAGCTGAGTGGCTGGGCAGCTGAATGGAGTTATTCCCCATGGTGGGATTGGAAATTAACTCCATGGTGGAATCTATCAGAGCAGCAAAGTAGCTGCTTTGGGTATGTGGTCTGCTTTTCGTATATAAGAAACAGCTTTGGGAATGGTCTCAAGCTTATGGCACGCTTGAACCCTGCGTGTAGCTGTGTCATTGTTCAGCAGCCTGCCATGCTCTGCCAACCTTGGGACTTTCAATGGACTTGAATGAATGGCCTGTCGTGTGGTTTGGTAACATCGGGACTTTGCCATGTTATTTGTTGACCTTGGGCTTGTTAGCCTCAGCAGCCAGTAGCGGCCTGAGTGAAGAGATGCCTCTAGCTTCAGTGGGCTGGGAGTAAGAGGCAGAGCTGAAGCCCAAGGTTGAGGGGCTTTTACCCAGACCCTAGAACTTGGCACTTTGAACTCGGAGTTCTAGCCTCCCAAATTCTAAGAGAATAAACTCCTGTTTGTTCAAGCCATCCTATTGGTGGTATATTCTTGTCAGAGCTGCACTAGGGAACCAGAAGATTGTGTTAAATCGTTGCCTGCTCATCAGTGAGCAGAACGGCCCCCAATCTAATCCCATCTGTACTACACTGTGTAGGATTTCCATGAATATCTGGATTGTCTATAAAACTCTGAAAATAATAGCATTATAGCACTTCCCTCCATGGTGTTTAAGTCCCTAAGAACAATTGCTATGTGCCACATGCTTCTACTAAGTAAAAGATTTGTAGACATCCCAGAAAATGTGTTGCTAACATGTTGGCAAATATTTATGTAGAACAATTATTAGTACTTGGATTGAATTCCTTGATCATTGAACCTGAGAGAACT